CTTCTTCAATTTACATGCACAACAAATTTTAGATTATTTAAATGGTTATTGATGTTTTTTATTCTACTTTCATGAACACTGTCTTTTAAGTTTATATTTCCTTTCCCTTGTATTGCCCAGACTGGATACTCTTTAGTACACCCGTTCCTGTATTACAGAGAAATGAGGCTTTCGCGTGCTGATTTGGGACCCAAAATAGGATTCCATCCAGATAAAAGACAAGTTGAGCATTCCCGCCGATTTCATGAAGTAACAACATATGTTCACCACCAGCATTAGGTAAAATTTTTGCCGATGCCGTGGCGCTGTACGAGGCAGCTGCGGGGTTCGGCTGATCAGTGTACCCCGAAGCGTACCCGCGTGTTTCCTCGTATGGGAAATCTAGCTTGTTCCCTAGCATTGTTAAATTCCCGAAGGAATTCATACGCAAACTTGGTATAAAGCCTTTCGGAACAAGTATTTTTAGGCTTGACGTGAATTTTTTGTAGATATTTGAGTTAGACTCCATCAACTATTTCTGCATAACCACGCAGTAGTCTCAAACTGGCATAAGGCATTCAATAGTATACAGTAGATTGTATATCTGTTGAAATGTGAAGATCGAAATTTAACTGGGGATTTAACACACACTTGAGGTTGTTTATTTTGCTAATTGAATTGACTTGAGGTGCAAAATGCTGCTTACTAGAAACGATTTCCGTTCACATCAGCATACTGGGGGCAGAAAGTGTCGTAATTTGGGCAAAGCCAACATTTTTGATATCCAAGGAATCTTGTTGTTTGATTGTACACCGCTCTATCTCTCAGGGTATACCCACTCTGAGTTTATGCTCACGAATTTCGGACCAACCGATTGTATTTTCGCAAGCGTACTAATTGATATGACGTCTGCCCCTGACCGGCGAGACACGAGTTCGAAAATTGAGTGTGACAGCAATTTCAGCGGCTACATTAGAGTTGGGCTACTCCTAGCTTATGACGGCCAATAACCAGAAATGTGTATTCCAGGATTGCCTTCTGCCTTGCCGGAATACTTCTTATCCAAGGAATCTCCTACGCTATCAAACGCTACAAAAAACTCTTGTTTGTGCGTATTGAACTGTAAAAGTGCAAAAAGGATAAGTTGTTTCAGAAGGTTTCTTAATTAATCTTAGGCGTATTCATTTGTGACTTTTGTTGTGGACATCCGTTTTTTTGGCAATGAGTGGACATTTTTGGGTGATTCAAAAACCATGACCCAAACAGACAGCCGCATAAGAATGAATATTTAAAAACTCAGTACTAAGGTAAATACTTTTAGGATATGTCTTGTTTAGAAGTTTTGGTAACCACATAGAAAAAAATCAGTATTTATGTGCAATCCAGCAAAAACCCTAAAAATCGTAAAGCGTTTAGCAGCACTTCAAGATGTATCGGAACCTCGGCGTTATCATGCTCTTGAAGTAATAACGAAGGAATGACACAGAATGAAATTTCTCTCAATGTACACAGCATGGTATGAAGTTGATTAGAACTACAACCGTATTCTAACTTTTTTAGTAAACAGCCAGCCTCTCTCTGTGTGTGGCCTCTTATCTAGTTTTATTCCTGTGAACAGCCCGGATCTGAGTTGTAAACGAAATCATTTTGCAATTATCGAAAGACATTGGCGCAAGGCGAGGAAAAATCTTTTCATGCATAATCACATTGAACAAACCACTATAGCTAAACGGTCCATGTCTATGTCTGACAATCTTAAAAGTTCTAATGTTTTGCATTTGTACTTGCCGGGTATTAATTTGCCGTTTATTGCGTTTCACTGCCTTAGACGTATTGATAATTCACATAAGTCAGTGACCTGTAAAATAGCAATAATCTCAATCTTCAGTTTTACATGATAATTAACTCTTTTTAAGTTAATAACTATTAATTTGTGAACCAACCTATGGCTTTGGTTTTACTTATAGTACTTACTTTACTGCTGTAAAACTTGGGGGAACATCGCGTGCGCTGAACTCGCGCGGCATGAATTTCTGGGTCTGATTGCCCAGCTCGTCGTCAGACAAATGAGGGTTGTGCGAAAAAAGTTAAATCAAAACGATGACTAACACGAGATTAACTCTTTTTGAGTAAACTGTATTCACACAAATCTCATTTGTCTGACGACGAGCTGGGCCACCAGACTTAAAAATTTCACACAATAAACAATATTCTTTCCCAAAGGCCTTTATCGTTAAGTATATATGTTAACATAAATGAAGATACGAGATCCAGAAATATTATGCCATTCATCATCCCCCATCACCACTATACGAGAAAGATTGTGCGGCATAACGATGCTGGGCAAGCAGGAACACACGACTCACCATTCTGATGATGGAAAATAGTACATCTACGAATCGTCAGCACAATTATAGTGTGTTCCAAGATAGCGGCTTATTTTCTTCTTCACCTGCTTTGGGGGATGATGAACGGGATCCATATATATCACTTGGGGTGCCGATATTTCAATGAATTTCCTTGTCCATGCCATGACATTTCAGGAGTTTGACAATCTGCTGTAAACTACGTAATTATTTCCCCTACTGGCCGCCTAAGTTGTACGTTGGACATATCAACTGCAGTCTCCTAGACTGTATTGAGCGTCATTTTTTGCAAGGTACCTACTTCATGTAGCCCAGAGCCTGTCGTTCTGCCTCGGAAATTCTCCTGAGGATGGAAACAACATTTATCGAGACCTCGTCATCACAGTCTTCTTTGTCGTTGTGCGGTTCCAATTCTTCTTTACTTTCCGTCCTTTTGGTCGAGTATGGTTTTTCGCATAATTCCCTCTGGAATGGATTTGCAGCGTACTGACTTCTTTTCTTGCAGCATATGAAAAGGTTGCTGAGGGAGATAGAGACCGAGGGAGATAGAGTTATGGTAATGACGTGGAAGGGCTGGAGTAGATCTCAACAGTTTATAAACGATATTAAAACTTACCTGGGTCCAAGAAACATCAAGCAAAGGACAACCCAAGCAGCAGTGAGACAGAGTAGGGAGATGGGGAGGCTGAAAAGCATCCAGGTTCCAAAGTTCGGCGGAACGTCATGTCCGTATCGACTACACATACACACACATGAAAGGAAGTACTTCATACAACCTGACAGCACCATGAAAATAGCAATAATAAATCGGCCTATGAAGTGTAAAGCTGGGGGGGTGGAAAACGTTTGACATAAGGCTAATCAGAAGATGCAATCATTGGAACAAGAATGTTAATTTCCCGACTTTTCGGATTCTGTCGGGAATCCTTAATCCTAGGTAACTGTAGGATAGCACGAGACGTGCACAAATAGCGCGGTATTTATAGTTTGTAGCGGCCATCCGCGTGCGTACTATAATTATCAGCTGCTGTAACCACCGCTTGGGGTCGTAACCGATGTGTTGACGCCTTAGCGGTTCGCTTTCGAGTCATTAATTGCCTTGAATTCGTCGCGCGTGTCCCCCTAACGAGGCCGAAATCCTCGCTAGAGGTGACTACCGCGTGAGCCGCGAACTGCTAGAGTTATGGTTCTTAGGCCCGCAGTCAGTCAACAAGCGCAGTAGTTTACCGTTCACATACTGCGTACTGACACACTGCCTAAGCAGGAAAATCAGTCATGTGAGAAGGGCCGGGCCCACCAACAACTCCGACGGCAGCTAGCATAATTATCGTGCAATTATCAAGCCCACATCCCACACGGACAACGAAAATCGCGGCAATAAATGCCTCGTAAGCGAAGTGTCAAGCCATCAGCGCACCAATGAAGACCCCAAGCGGTGGTTACAGGAGCTGATAATTAGAGTACGCATGTGGATGACCGCTACGAACTATAAATGCCGTACAATGTGCGCATGTCTCAGACTATCCTACGGTTACCTATGATTGAGGATTCGACAGAATGCGAAATATAAAGAAAATAAAATTCTTGTTCCAGTGATCGTATTTTCTTCTTCTGAACTGCTTCCTTGAACTCGCATATTCGCTTCTACCGAATAGGGCTAATCCTACAGCAATAAAACATCCTCACCTGCATGCAAGCCCAGCAAAGATGGTATTTGGTGGAGAACCAATGAGAGTGGCGATACCGCCACAGCTAGCGGCATAGCAAACTGCCAGACTGAGGCCTGCAGATAAACGCCTTATCTGCGCTCGGCATTTGCTTTCCACTCTGAAAACGGATATAAAGGTGTCTGAAGGCTTATCACTGCTATTTGGATTATTTAAAGAATCAAGCAGATTTCGCATAAGGAGAATGAACTTTTTTACTGCGAAGCATACCCCGTCCCATTCTTCTGCACTGATTCCTCCAGGGGGCCTGGAAGTAAATAGGATAAAGCATTATTTATTTACTTCATGTCTAATGCAATCTGAAGCTGACTAAGTAAGCAATATCATAAGATGAACAGTGTTTACAATGGTAGCTGGGGTTCACCCATCGGCTAAAGGACTCACTTGTCCCGTTATGGCTTAGGGCTTACTCTCCAGTACCGCCAACAGACTAGTCTTATAGGTAAATGAAAATTGTCAAAAAGACAAGGGAGACTGGAATGACCATTTCTGGCTCATTAGCCGTCATCAGCCGGTCATAGCGAACCCCGGTGAGCTAGAGCGCTGGACTTCCAACCAAGAGTTTGCGAGTTACCTCTTGAAAAGTTTACTTTAATTAGATATTTCGGCGTCGAGTCTCTGCATATTTTACCTATTTTGAAGATTGAATCAATATCAACAGGGGACATTTTGCCAGTTTTTTGACTTCCCTAAAAATTAAGGTTATATCTTCTGCCGAAAATGGAAGAACTCACTTTTTTATGTATACTGGAGTAGCTTTCAGTATATTTATTTACTTCTAGGCTTGGTTTTAAGATAACAAAAGCAGAGTAGGGTTGCAGAATAGCTGCGAAGAGTTTGAGAAAACTAATAATCGAATGCCCGATCCGTTTGAAGTTTTCTATTCACTGATTCTGCTATATAGACAGAAAATGTTAGGACATCCTTTGCATGCAACTTGACAGAGAAGACTAGCGGCATGTCTCGGGTGTTTTCATATAGGCTCGCCTACGGTCGTTGTTTTCGGTGGGGTTAAGCAAATTACAGTGTTGTAAGTTTATTCCTTCATTTTATGGCTCAAAACATAGCAGATTTGCAAAATATAATTTTCTAAATTACTTCGCTCTTCTTTTCCAGACCATGATGTGTTATCTCATAATTACACTCACCCCAAGTTCATGAACGCAAAACAAAATTGTGTGTTCTCTAAACACATATCATTAAATCGTTTTGGGGGTTTTTATTAATGTCCTTTTATAGTACAACACGCAAAAACAATAAGTTTTTCTGCAGCGTTTTTGTAGCGTAGGAAATTTCTTGGACAGCAACAAACACTGGGTTTGGCCCAATTTCGCCCCTATTTGCCCCAGTATACTGATTTAAAGGAAACTTATTTCTAGTAAATAGCATTTTATGCCGAAAGTCAACTCAATGAACAAACTAAACAACCTCAACTGTGTGTTAAATCCCCCACTCAAATTTTGATCTTCTCATTTCATCAAATATACCACCTACTGTAGTTGTAAACAGAGTTTATTTTGGGCGCGTTATTTACCTTTGGTTGCTTCCTCCAGCTTTGTTAAGAACGCCTCCACAATGGTTATCATCATCACAGTTGTCGCAGTATTGCTCATCCACATTGAAAGAAACCAGGTGGGGAGCATTACACCCAACATCAGCCTAGAATTTGCAAAAAGGGGTGGGAGCTCGCCGAAGTCATACAACAATTCTTAAGGTTTAACAAAAAACGTGTTATCTCAAAAAGGACCCTTCCGAAGATTCGACAATTGTAAGAAGCTTTCGGCTGGGAAGAATATGGGAGAAATAGCTGCCCGTCCTACTTTTTACTTGCCTACCGCCCGTGTGCCATCGGAAGAAATTTTTGAAAAGTCCATTTGGCAAACATATTTTTTTCAGCAACTCTTCATCAGGCCAGCACATTTGAGGTGATAAGAAAAAAATGTACACTTGGACATGGTAAATAAGTGTACTTTGATTACATTTCATCGTTGTCACGCCGCCCGCACGCGTGTAGAGGTCCTTGAGCGGGAGAGGGGAGAAGAAATTGAAGTAGGTGGCGGGCATTAGTTAGGGGTAAGGAACATGGCGTGATAATTACGGCCATTTGTACGGAGCGAACCACTGTCACTAGGACGTGGGGGCGATGTGTACTGAAGGTCACATCCATGTGCATTTACCTTTCACTTGCTGCTATGGAGCAGGATACATCTGCTGAACAATGAGTCGCCTGGAAAAGAGGTTACCCGAGCGGGGTGCCGTAAAAAGTATGAGCTGTAATAAAAGTACACTTCTTAGCCCTGCCAACATATGTCCTCTGTGTTTGTTGGTAATACACTGGTCACTAAAAGGTAACGAGTAAAATAAATATTTCACCTTGAACACATACAGTTCTGCGAATCCTGCAAACAAATTTTAGGACGAAATTTAACTTGGTAGTTTAGCGTATAGCTGGACAGGTTATTTTGATCAACTGAGTGGGTTTAATAATAAGAGGAGCTTTGGTTTGGAAAACTGCCCTCTTATTCAAACTTATTGGGGGAAATAGGCTCTCATTTTTGCTAAATCATGAGTATGTTTATAT